GTGTCTCAAAAGAAAATATTTTTTTGAGATGGATACAATTAAGTCTCCTGGAATTACTGTATAGTAGCTGATGGGCATCTACCTTTTAAACATTGACTAGATACTCAGATTAAGAGTACTGAAATAAATAATAGTATATCCATGGGAATCCTAGAATAAGTAATAGAACCTAATTTTCAGGTATCAGAGAATCACAATTTTTGGAAAGGTAACCTTACTTACTTTTAAAATTGATGTTTTTTGACATCTTTGTACTGTAAGTATCCACTTGTCTTATCATCTTTAAATCAAACTGTACAAATGGGAATTGTTTTCAATTTACTTTCTTATTTTTGTCTTCTTCTGCTATTAGAATCAACTGTTGCCTCTCATACCAGGAAGCCACATCTCCCCCACACCTGATGGAAGAAAACAAGTCCTCCAGTTAAAATTTGATCATCTTCCAAACATTTAGGAAAATGTTCTTTCAAGTGCAAAGTAATTTAATATGTACACATTTGGTACAAGTGAGATAGGAATTCTCAGTGTTTCAAATGCAAATGAGCCATATGAAAATTAAGATGCCTTCTAGAATTGTTTTGCTCTGATCATTGCTGATTTCTTTTCCTGTGCTTTTTACATGCCAACGTTATCTTTTAGAATATTTTCTTTAAATGTTATAAAGCCTAAAACTGCACATATGGAGGAGATATTTTCAATATCATCAGAGCAGCCCCTCCTGAGGCTATTGATATGGAGAATTTGTGAGATTATACTTTGATTTATGAAAAAGATTTACATGTGTCATCTTGCTTCAGCTGACCACATAATATCTTAAAGCAATATCAAATAGCCTGCCTCACTGTTTGTGTAAGAAATGACATATATTCCTGCATTGTAATTCATACTTATTGTAACCAGGTCTGTTAAGTAATGCTGATATCTTATTCTTTGTTTTTGTATTGGTTTGGAAAGAGAACCTTGAAAGGTCATTCAGGTTTATTTCTAGATTCCACAGCAGGCTCTACTTTGTCTCATGAGGCATTGATGATTCTCATTTTAAAGGTAGCTAGAGAAAAGTATGGATTCCAATACATAGCAAACAGTGGACCAATGACAAGGAATCATCATCCTCATCAGTAACGCTCTCGGATAATTGGCTGCCGTCCTTTGCTATATCGCCATTCCTTATTCTTTTCTCCTCCTGGCTAAATCATCTCAGGACCCAAACCGATCCTCCTGGGTGTGTTATCTAAATAGCTCACTGCCAGTACTCTCTTGCATGCATTTGCATCCATGGCCTCTATGAAATTGTGCAGCCCAAAACTAGTGAGTGCATCATAATCAGGTTAGTTTGTAAACACGAGAGCAGGAAGATTATCTTTCAGTTAATATCACTTTATATCTCTCACAAAACAACAAAGCAAAGCAAACCTCTCAATAGCTGAGCTGAATTTACTATGGGATATTTTCCCAACTAAACTTGGCATATGTATATCCACATATATTTGTAAATATATACTTAAAATTATAAATTTTGCAGCCCCATAGTAGGTACCTTTTATCGTGGATATAAAAAATAATGCAGAATATTTGAAAGTACTTTTAGTTTGCTAACGAGGAACTCATATAAAATAATAGCACAGGGCTATCACTGTTAGGCAAAAAGGCACAATCAGTGATATTCTTATCAGGAAAAATTAAGAGTATTTATTAACTCATTTCTGCTCCTGCATCTGGCATGCGAACCTGAAAGTTGTCAAATTTTGCAAATACACATTATTCCAGAAATGTGTCCAGCACCAAGAGTTAAGGATATATTGTAATTGAAGAAACATGATAACATCTTATGTTTATGTCTGAAAGTCTTCTGCACTTAGAAACATGTAATCTCCCAGAGAATCTCATTCAGTTATGTAGAAGCATCCATTTAATGAGGAATTATGACATCTAAACAATAGTTTCTTGTTCACAGGAAGGGTTTTTTTTTTTTTTTTTAGACAGGTTCTTGCAGTAATCCAGGCTGGAGTTCAGTGGCACAATCACAGTTCACTGCAACCTCCACCTCCTCAGCTCAAGCGATCCACCCACCTCAGCCTGTGGCTTGGACTACAGTGGAAACCACCACACCTGGCTAATTTTTAAATTTTTTAGAGGCAAAGTCTTGTTATGTTGCCCAGGCTGATCTCTAACTCCTGAGCTCAAGTGATCCTCTCACCTCTTGGCCTCCCAAAGTGCTGGGTTTACAGGCATGAGCCACCATGCCTAGCCAGGAAGGACTTTTTAAGTGAGCTGATCTGATATGGCCATTTTACATTTTTAGTGTAAATATAAGCTGTTAAGGCCTTCTTATTTTCATCCCGTTATCAGGAATGTGCCTTTTCAGATTTGTGTGTTTCTTGCTTTATTTTTTCTTTTTGAGACAGTGTCTCACTCTGTCACCAAGGCTGGAGTGGCACAATCATGGCTCACTGCACCCTCGACCTTCCGGCTCAAACAATCCTCCTGCCTAAGCCTCTCAAGTAATTGGGACTACAGGCCACCATGCCCAGCTAATTTTTTGTAGAGGAAAGGTCTTGCTACTTTTCCCAGGCTGATTTCAAACTCCTGGGCTCAAGCAATCTCCCTACCTTGACCTCCCAAGGCACCACATCCAGCCAGTTTCCTGCATTTTTAATAGGATGATACCATGGGTGCAAAGAAAATGAGAAATGAAAGATAAAAGGCAACTTTGCTGAACAATGTATTTTTAGCTTTCATAATGTTTTTCATTTAAGCCTTGTTGTTACCAAACCACTCATACTGCTCTAGCTCTCCTAAATATATATATATATATATATAATGTATCAGTGTAGATAGTATATTTATGCATATACATATATATACACACATATAAAATATGATATACACATGCAGAAAACAAGACAGCATTCCATTGCCCATTTTGCTTGTAATTGTGTTTCAAATAACGAAGTTTTTGGCAGGGATAGTAGTGTGACTGTCTTCTCTTATTTTTGCTTACATTAAAAAATTAATTCAAACTAGCATTTCTCTTTTTCATTTTTTTTTTCCTCAGATAAATCCATCACTTAGGTGTCACTGGGTAAGGGACAGGAGAGAGCATCTAATGCTTAGAGAAATGCTCTGATACAGTCATAGTACCATGAAGAAAAATAAACAGGCTGGGCACAGTGGCTCATGACTGTAATCCTAACACTTCGGTAGGCCAATGTGGGCAGATCATGAGTTTTTTCCTTCTAAATTAGGTGTCTCACTTGAGGTCAGGAGTTCTAGCTGAGCCAACATGGTGAAACCTTGTCTCTACTAAAATATAAAAATTAGCCTGGTATGGTGGTGGGCTCCTGTAATCCCAGCTACTCGGGAGGCTGAGGCAGGTGAATTACTTGAACCGTGGAGGTGGAGGTTGTAGTGAGCCAAGGTTATACCACTACACTCCAGCCTGGGCAACAGAGCGAGACTGTCTCAAAAGAAAAGAAAACTTAGCTTCTGATGCCATATGCCTGTTTAATTGTCCCTGGGTGCCCCAGGCCACAACATAGCATTGTTGCTGCCTGCGTTGCACAGGATTCCAAGTCTCAAGCTGTAACTCCTTCCTGTTTCAAGTACATATCTCTCACCTCTGTACTGCACAGATTCTCCCACAGCTGTCAGCCCGTGCACAACAGTTGCCCTTCAACATCTACTTCCCAAATCATGTAATGCCTTTCATAAGGCTTATCTTTAGCAAATAGTCTTGTCCCACACTCTTTACTGAAGCCCACTTGATCCCGTAATTATGTGTTTCTATCAGACTCTTGTGCTGTTTCTGGATCACCTGGGTCCTGTTTCACTTATGCCAACTTTCCAGCCTTTTAATTTATTTACGTAGCTCCCAGCACTTTGGGAGGCCAAGGTGGGCAGATCATGAGGTCAAGAGATCAAAACCGTCCTGGCCAACATAGTGAAACCCAATGTCTACTAAAAATACAAAAATTAGCTGGGTGTGGTGGCACGAACCTGTAGTCCCTGCTACTTGGGAGGCTGAGGCAGGAGAATTGCTTGAAGCCAGGAGGCAGAGGTTGCAGCGAGCAGAGATCATGCCACTGCACTCCAGGCTGGCGACTGGTGAAAGAGCAAGACTCTGTCTCAAAAGAAAATTAAAAAAAGAAAGAAAGAAAGAAAATTAACAACTTCATTCTTGTTTTAGTAGAAGACTATAAAGGTCTTTAAGAGTAGTAGTTAGGACCAGGCATAATGGTGCATGCCTGTAATCTTAGCACTTTGGGAGGCCAAGGCAGGTAGATTTCTTGAGCCCAGGAGTTTGAGACCAGCCTGGGCAACATGTCAAAACCGTGTCCCTACCAAGCAAATAAACAAACAAAAAAATACGAAAGTTATCCAGGAGTGGTGGCATGGGGCTGTATTCCCAGGATTCCTTGAGCCCCTGAAGTCAGCCATGTTTATGCCACTGCACTTCCACCTGGGTGACGGGTTTGCTTGAACCTGGGAGGTGGAGGTTGCAGTGAGCTGAGATCATGCCACTGCACTCCAACCTGGGCAACAGAGTGAGACCCTGCCTCTAACAATAAAATAAAATTCTAATAAAATAAAATTATAAGAGTGGTCATTAGAGAATATAAATAGATCATTTGGTCTGGAAGTTTGGACAGCTAGGTTCTAGGCCTAAACTGCAACTCTCTGTGTATCCTTGGCATAGCATTCAACTTTTTTGTGACTTCTGTAACTTTGCTGTTTTCTCATTTGTAAAATAAGAGAGTAGTGAGGCTAGATAATTTTTCTTTTTTTTTTTTTTTAGAAAATATTCTTTTAATTCTTTTCCTTAGAATTATTTCCTGGATTTCTTCTATAAAATTCCATAATTAAGAAGACCAGCATAGAACTTTTTGAGGCAAATTTATCTTAGAATATCAACTACTGAAGAAAGATATTCTTAATGAGATAGGATGCTTTTCTGTATCCTAGTCCAGACTTGACTTCTAAAAGCGGATCATCTTGGCCTTTTATGTCAGGATCAGGGACAAATGTTGAGAAGAAAATTAGACAAGAGATTCAAAGAGCAAATTGCATTCATCTGATGCCCAGAAATTACCTTGTGGGTCCTCTGATTTTTCAGGAAAAGTTTCATTGCATGATGGTTTTTCAGTTGGTTTAATTATGCTTTCTTCTGCATTGCTCCTTTTGAAAGCAAGTTCTGCCCTGACAGGTCCCAGTGACTTAGGGAATAACTGATTGCTCCACGTGTGGGGGTTTATTTCCTTTCCACTGGCTATCAAGGACATGTTCTTGGGATTCATACCTGAAAGATATCTTGATTGTTTCAAGTAGTCCTCTTTAGAGGCTGGGGCAGTTGACAATTCAGAATCAGACTTTACGGAAATAGCAGCAGGTAGGCTCTTGTTTTCCCCTAGCAAGTGGTTGGAGCCCGAGAGTGCCAGCTCTGGAAGCCGAAATGGAGAATCTTTCTTCCTTTTTTCTTTAAAAACACCCATGCTTGGCTTCTTGGAATGGGAGGCTCCGAAATCATAGTCCTCCAACCCTTCCCAGCTTTTTCCAGATTTGAAGATAGTCTGGCCCCAACGCCTCCTACCACTTTTATGATTCAGTGTGCCATTTGGCTTAGTTGGCATGTTTCTGATGATGTTTGAGAATCGTGTTTGCGGCGGTTTCTGCTGATTCTGTTGCTTTGCTGGTTGCTGGACGCTCAGGTTCTGTGGCGGCTGAATGGGCTGCAGTGGCTGCTGGCTAGTTTTTGACTGGGATTGTTCAACAGTCTGATCAATTACATCTGGTAGAGGCTTGGGCTCTACTTCAACTAAAGATGGCTTTGATTCTAATGGTTGCAGCTGCTTATTTAAAGACTGTTTTGATTCCAGATTATTTGAGGAAGGGCCTAATACCTGACCAACTTGAAAATATGGGTGTTTCAATGCCCGGCTTGCTCTTGGTTGTTTCATTGGAGCCCAATTCAACATTTCAGTCATGAGCTGAATAGCTTCATTACTGGCATTGGGAATCAGAGTTTTTAAGTTTATAGGAACACACTGGGGAAAACGAAAGTTCATAGAAGATGCCAGCTGGTATCCTTCTGGCCAGTTGCTCTTTTTGGGAGTCCCTAAAACTTGGCAAATTTTAAAGATTTCATCAATCTCACTTTTCCCTGGGAAAAGTGGCCTTAACATATAGAGTTCAGCCATGATACTTCCAACAGCCCACACATCAATGGGAGAGCTATACACAGAAGATCTCAGCAAAACTTCAGGGGCACAATACCATCTAGTAGAGACATAATCAGTGTACGGTGGCTGTGACCTTAATTCTCTTGCAAGTCCAAAATCAGCAATTTTCACAAGTTCTGGACCCATACAAAGCAAGTTTTCTGGTTTCAAGTCCCTATGAAAAACCCCATGTTTATGGATAAAAGCCAGCCCTTGCAATATCTGATACATAATATTTCTGATGACTGACTCAAGGAACAAGTTGTTTTGGTCTTGCATTAATTGATAGAGGTTTTCTTTCATATAGTCAAATATGAAATAAAGGTGGTCATTTTCTCTGATAACTTCTTTCAATTTAATAACATTAGGATGTTATTTTCTCAGAGACTTAACTTCTCTCAAGTTCATACATTCATCCCAAGAATAGAACTTTCTCTTCATCCTTTTGATGGCCACCAGTTCCCCGGACTCATTATTCTTGGCCATAAGCACACTCCCATAGGCACTGTCCCCCAGCTGTCCCATGGTTGTGTATCGGTTCATCTTGGAAAAATAACGCAGCAGAAGTTGTTGATTGAAGTGGCTTCCTCATTGAATATAAATCACATTCACTGCCCTCAGGAGGCTGGATAATTCTAAGTCTCCCTTTCAACTCTAAACTTCCGTGATTCTTTATAGCACATAGTGTTTTTATCCTGGTTGTATCTCCCACTGCAAGAGGCTTTCTAGAGAGGGCTTTTCATTAACAACACCAAGATAAAATATTTTTGTTTATGATCTAGCCAGGAGCCAGGAGTTACCTTCCTCTCTCTTGCCTCTCTTTTGCTTGCTTGCTTTCACACTCACACAAACACACACACAACTATACCCTACTAGTTCCATCAAGTCAATAGTAGTTTACAGGCAACCATCTAACACAGGTGAAATTTTCTAAATGAAAGTGCGTTTTGAAGCTAATTATCACTAGATTTTAATGAGTGTAAATAAAATAGGTGTGTTTTAAAAATGTAGAGTAATATGTAATCATTCTTTGATGTTTTCATCTAACTACTTAGCTTGGAAATGATGCATATATTGTGAAATATTAACATATTCATCAAGGCAAAGAACATTTCATCTAGTTTTAACTTCAGCAACACTTTTAGTAGTTTCAGTAAATGATAATTAAATTTTACAGACATATCTGAATTGTATACATTTTATATGTCAAAAACAAGGACTCAGGCTCTCTTTTTTTTTTGAGATGGAGTTTCAATGGCACGATCTTGGCTCACTGCAACCTCCACCTCCCGGGTTCAAGTGATTCTCCTGCCTCAGCCTCCTAAGTAGCTGAGATCACAGACATAAGCCACCATGCCCAGTTAATTTTGTATTTTAATAGAGACGGGGTTTCACTATTTTGACCAGGCTGGTCTCGAACTCCTGACCTTGGGTGATCCACCTGCCTCAGCCTCCCAAAGTGCTGTGATTACTGGCATAAGCCACTCTACCCGACCCGGCTCAGTCAACTTTTAATTTACCCCATAATTTGCTCAAGCTGAGAATTGGTAATCCTACCCAACAGGCATATAGATGATTTGTATTTTTAAAGTTAAAATTTTTCTTTCTGTTATGAACACTACTCATTGACCGTATGTCTAAATACTGTCATATTGAAGATTCTGTGTCCACTTACAATTTTAGAACATATTTGTATAGAAGCAGGTATATTTCAAATCACTTGAAATTGTAGCTACATATTAACATTGATAATTAGCCTAATCATAATTTAAACTACTAGAAACAATTCACTAAAAGCAATTTTGTTTTATTATGTTAAATATACATAATTTTATGGTTTTTTAAAATTTAGCTTAAGATACTTTGAAAACCCACATATGGGATTAAATATTTTGATGACTTTATATTTGTATATGTAACTTAACTTGAATATGTTCTTTAGGTTATTTTAATAAAAGTTAGAAATATTTCTGTCTAATTTCTATCAACTCAGCTACTCATTCATTTTCTAATACTTTGTATTTAAATGATAAAAATTGTCATCTTCATATGTAAATTCCACAACTTGTTATTTAATTTCCTACTGGTTGGAATATCTGAACAGCTGGCATGGCAAACTTTTTTTGTGTGTGCCTTGGTTGGAAATTTTTACAAATGGAAAAACTAACAAAATATTTTCCAGTCTAACTAGATGCTTATCCCTGAGAAAATCTTTACAACTTTACTTTGAGGCTGTAAGATTCTTTTCCTTTCGATTTGTCAAAATATTTATCTGATCCTTTATAATACTGAAACTTCAGGATGTGACATTTTCTTGTATCTTCATTTCCAGGCTTTCACAGTAATTTCTGTTGTGGGTTTTAAAAAATGAAAAGGGCTAAAGACCAAACTTAGACTTATGATCAAAAGACAGAAAAACAACTATAAAATAATGAATGAGGTTACTATTTAAATATGCTCCAATTCTTTCATTTTCTTTTGAACTAATCTTTCTGCTTTTGTTATTTTTAATGGTGCCAGCATTAAAAAGAGAATAGTAGACTGTTTCCATTGATGACCGCAACAATTTCCCCCAGCCCACATGCCTTTTGCAATGATATTTTGCCATTCTTTTATCAAAAGGTGAAGTCGCCCTCCTCTGTCCCCACCTTGGGTCCAAGCTGGCCTTGGGATTTCCTGAGGCTCACAGAATGCAGCAGAGGTGATGATGTATCATTTCTGGACCTAGCCCTTAAAAAGCCTGGCAGCTTCTGTTTCCTCTCTCTGGGGAAGCCGGCTACCACGCTGCAGAAGAGCTTAGGCTGGACTACGAAATTACCACATGGAGAGAGAGAGAGATCACTGGAGAAGCACTAAGGGCCGGATCCATGAGTGAAGCCTTCCTGGACCTTCCAACTCTGTGCAGCCACCCACCTAATATAACCAAAGAAGTGTCCCCAGTCAGCATCAAGTGGAATAGGTTAACTGTCCAGCTGAGCCTAGTCAACCCATAGAATTGTGAAAAATAATAAATCATTGTTTTAAGACACTAAATTTTGGGATGATTTGTTATGCAGCAATATATAACTGAAACAGAGTATATTTTTAGATTGCATACCATTATGATTGAAAGCATGTTCCCAAATAATATGCACAGTTAAAATAAGGCATAGGATCTGATGTTATTTAACCTAGAACTCTAAGTACATTTTAGGGAACCTGTCTCCACCACCTACCCAGTCAAGGCTGCTGTACTTCCAAGGGTCTTATAAAACGTGTATAAGCACTCTATAGGGGAAATCTAAAGCAGTGTATTAAAGAAATGGTCCAAAGATTGTATTTTACCAAATATATGAACGCATGCTAGAAGTTTTCACAGTGGCCTAAAAGGAAACTTCCAGTTTTTTTCTTTTTTTAAGAAACAGGAGTCTCATTATGTTGTCCAGACTGGCCTCGAACTCCTGGGCTCAAGTGATCCTCCTGCCTTAGCCTCCCAAGTAGCTGGGCATGGCTTATTTATTTATTTATTGGTAGAGACAGGAGTTCTCACTATGTTGCCCAGGCCACTTGAACTTCTGGCCTCAAGCTCTCCTCCTGCCTTATCCTCCCAAAGTGCTGGGGTTACAGGAGAGAGCCACCATGAGAGGCCTCATGGAATTGTTTTTAATGCAGTAGTTGCCATGTTTCCTCCCAAAGAAGCATGAAACCTTGTCTTACTCAATTGCTTGTATCTTCCATTTGGTGACTTTTACATTCCTAATATGGAAAGGCTCTTACCTTACAGCAAAAAAAAAAAAATATGTCAGGTTATTCTCTTTACACCAATTTAGTTCAGTGACACTCTCTGAAAAGGTTTGCTTACTGCTTAGCAAACACTATCACCTGGAGAAAATCAGCCTCGATGGATACACAGCCACCAAAAGGAAACAGCCTAATGAGCTTAACCTGTAAGACATAAGACCTCACCAGAAAACGTAAAGAAAACACCAAGAGGAACATCATGAAATAAATCTGACCATGACTCCAGAAGACTCCTGAGGGATTGAAATGATCAGAGATAGTAGAGTTGGCTGGGGTGGTATCACCAAGTTTTGAAGAAAAAACATTTTTGGTTTGCAAATACACAAAACAAATTTAATATTGTGTCTATTAGACAGTCATTGTGTTTCTTATAGTGATTAGCTGTAAGAAACAACTAGGGAAAGGATAGAAGATCTGGGCTAGAAACACAAATCTTTCTCTTTTTAATTTATTATTTTTATTTTGAGACAGCGTCTCGCTGTGTCAACAGACTAGAGTGCAGTGGTGTGATCTTGGTTCAGTGCAACCTCCACCTCCTGGGCTCAAGCCATCCTTTCACCTCAGCCTCCGAAGTAGCTGGGACAACAGATGCACATCACCATGCCCAGCTAATTTTTGTGTTTTTAGTAGAGACAGGGTTTCACCATGTTTCCCAGGCTGGTCTTGAACTCCTGAGCTCAAGCTATCTGCCCACTTTGGCTTCTCAAAGTGCTGGGATTACAGGCCTGAGCTATAGCTTTCAGCCCAGATCATGCCATTACACTCCAGCTTGGATGACAGAGTGAGACTCCGTCTCAAAAAAAAAAAAAAAAGTTAGCCGGGTGTGGTGGTGCACCCCTGTAATCCCAGCTATTCAGGAGGCTGAGGCAGGAGAATTGCTTGAACCCAGGAGGTAGAGCCTGCAATGAGCCAAGATCATACAACTGCACTCCAGCCTGTGCAACAGAGCAAGACTCTGCCTCAAAAATTAATTAAGGATTATTAGTCATGAATTGACTTCAAAGCATTCATTAGAAGTCCTCTCTTCAATTTCCAAATGTAACCCAGGGTTGCTACTGCCCCAAACTCCTGAGAGCCCTACTGGGTTCACACGCTGAAAGCTCACAGTACTTCCCACCTACAACAAAGAATCTCTCCTTTCCCTACAGCGAACCAGCCTGCTTTTCCCTTCTTGTTGAGCCCTTTTTCACTTGAAATTGAGCAAGACCATAACTAAATCTGTACTATTGACTGGCTGGCCTAAAAGAGATAAAAATCCCTTTCTCATTCTGCTTTAAATCTTTAACATTTAAAACTTAGAATGTAATTAGAAGTTAGTTTCAAAGCAATCCCACTGAGAAGATTAGGGAGATTAAGTACCAGTTTTAAAGGGCTAGCTTTCCGAAGAGCTGTTTGTCATCAGTATGCTGAGAAAATGGATGTGGGGCTGGGGTGGTGGGACTGTTGGATGACCAGAGGGCAACATGAAGGCACTGGGGCTTTCCTTAGGGGTTGGGAGTGAAGGGCACCACAAGAGAGAAACAGAGAAGTTAGAAATTTGCCTATAGCAAACCGTGTCTGCTTAGGAAATTTATCAACTCAGACCTTAGCCGTCATTTCTTCCAAAGAAATCCATCAAAGCAGTATAGGAAAGTGGAAAACACCTTGGCTGGGATCTAGAGCTACCTCTGCTACTAACCTCATGGCATTGGGTATGTTCCCTTCTGTCACTGGCCCCTCAGTCTGTAATAAGGGGTATAAAGCTAGATCAGATGATTTTAAAGATCCTTCCAGCTAAGACACTTTGTGAAATGACATAAGAGGCCGAGGGTGATGGCCTGTAA